CCAAGGACATGAACCCCCACAACGCACCGGAACTAAGGCCCATCGAAACATACTGGGCTATTATGAAGCAAGCACTACGGAAGCATCCCAAGGAGGTCAAATCTGAGGAAGACATGAAGAAAAAGTGGGTTTCCGTACAGAAGAAGCTGAAGCCATTTGTTGTACATAACCTAATGAGTGGAGTTAAGCGTATGGTGGCGGCAGGGGTAGACGCGACCAACTCAAAAGAATTTTATTATTTATTATTATTATTATTTCTTGCATGAGTTGCGTCGCGTGTCGCGTCTACCCTGGCCGCCACCTAAGGTGCGAGCTTACGGTTATGATATTGAAGTTGAATGAAATAAATATGCTTAAAGCTTACTAATGGGTTATATTTTATTGTCTGAAAGTTTGAAAAAGATCGGTCAACTAGGTAATTTTCTACAGCGTTTTTTTCCGTGATGCAATTTGATATGGGACACCCTTTAGATTGTCCTCCAATGCTACGTGAGTTGAATTTTGATATTCGTCGTCGTATTCTCAGTTCTTACTAATTTATTTGTACATCTACATTCCGTACTAATTATGGCTATAATGAGTCTTTTAGTAGTAGTTTTTATAACACACGACTTCAATCGTTGTTACAGGGGGAGAGGTAGCTCATCGATTCTTCCGGTTCGCCTCCTAGCATCGTGCTATAAGGTACCAGGCGATAACCAGGGTAGTTGATCGATAGCTCGATGACGTCATTTCGTTGGCGTCTGCAATGGGAAATTCTCATAGCAGGCGTTGACGATGGGACGTTGTCGAGTTGTTGAATAGCAACTATCGTGGTAACTCACCGATTACCTGTCGATCTGCCAAATTTGGAAAGACGTCTGCATTGAATTGTCTCATATAATAATATTCCGCCCACTATATCACAAGAAATTGCGAGTAGCTGAGTGGAATGGAGATAAGTTAAGCATTGGGTACAGGACCAAGTCTCCCCTGGGTGGTGCCAAAAGATGAACGCAATAGAATCATCAAGTTGCCATAAGGCACGGAATGAGACTATTGCATGGCTGGGTAGTCAAAGTCTTCCATTCGTTAGTCATTTCAGGTGGATTAGAACAGGTTTAGGTGGGCGTTGGCCAGATTTGGATTTTTCAGATGTAATCCTGGATAGGACCCTGTCATTGAACGTCGCGTGAAAGTGGAACTTAATGAAGGCCTAAGTACTTTTTTGTAGTTTTTAGTTTTCGGATTTGAAAGATCGTCGGTTACAGTGGCCTACTTACTGAGCAGAAAAACGCGGTCCCAGGTCCTTACATATCCAAAGAGATTTATGGTAAAATCGCTTGTGTATCGTGTATTTTGCGAAACTCGTTGTTGTCGTTGGTTCCGGGTTTGAATGGATACACACATCTGAGCAACGGTATTATGTGATATGAGGGGCTCGGTGGTCTTAGAGCAACCGTTTTTGCTTACTGAGCAGAACATCATGAGTCTAATCTCAGGCCCATCCACATTCAAGATTCGTCAATCGTTTTATTTGTTAATATGACTACATGGTAATAACAGCAACTCGGTGATTAAAAAGGTGCTTAAAAAGGTGCTTGACCTGTGTTCGGGCGCGGCCGGCGCTGGTATTGCCTAATTTAAGATCACCAGTTTTTACACATTGAGGATGATTGCTAGTCCCAAGCATCGTCTATTCTTTCTCTATGTAATTACAGCTGATCTGGCAGTAACAGAGTATCAACCGTGGGCGGTCAATCAAGCTCAAGCAAGCTCAAGCTCAAGCTCACACGACTTCAATCGTTGTTACCATGTCTTCGACTTTCATCTGTCAAGTTCAATTAATAAAAATAGGTTTCGTGAAGTGCTCAATTAGTAAATTATAGGTAGTAGTAAAAGATAGAATAAGGTGATATTTTGTTTAGTCTTAAATAAATACTGTATCATTTGGGATCTGTTCTGTTGATGAGAAAAGATGAGGAGGTTTTATGACCATTTTAGAAAAAGCATTTGACCATTCCTAGGGAATTTTGAGGAGAAATTAAAACAGAGTTTGAGGCATAATTTGTTTGAGGCATGATAATTTATGAAAAATACGTAGGGAAAAGGAATTGTAAGGAGCATTTCAGGAGAATTTTAAGGAGAAAAACTGAAGCAAATTCCTTAAAAAAGGTTATTCTGACTAGCATTCCAAAATAATTATTGGATTTACAATTCTAAAGAAATTAAATGGGATTACTTGACTGAAGTCCAATGCTCGGTCTAATGTGAATTTCAAGATAGTTCAGAGTAAAATTACAGGTTAATTCTGAGGACTAATGGTTAGTAGTAATTCTGAGGAGAATTCGTTGAATAGCGTTGAAATCAATTTCGTGGAGTATTCTTATGCAATTTCTAGTAGAATGTCAAACTAAAACAATAATGTTATGGTTCAGTGAAGAATTTTGGTGAATTAATAGCAATATTTGTTAGAAATTTTAAAAGAATTTTAGAGAGAATTTCAAGTATTATTTGTATTTTTTGCTTGTATTGTGAAGATAATGATGACAATAGCAGGGTTAGAGACATATTTAGGAAATTTTGTGAAGGGTTCCAAGGTAATTGACATTTTTTATGATCACCGTTACTGAAGATAAAATCAGATTTAAAAAATGAATAAGATTACGAGTCTTCTGATTATTTTTCAATTTTTATGCATTGAAAAGTTTTCAAAATCCCGGAATGAAAATTTATTTTTAAAATTTTGTTGAACATAATAGGGGAAATGGATGTAATGTCGGTCTAAATGCCCCTAATTTGGGCCCATACATAAATTCAGCAATCGACTAAATTTTCAATGACGTGTTAATCTAGATAAAATGGACAAATAGCAGATTTTTAGCGATGGGCCCAATCTTAGATCCATAGGCCAACATCTCCTATGTTTCAAGATTTAAAATTTTAAGAAATATTTAAAATGCCAGATGATTTAGCATGGGTAATGTTATAGAAATAAAATGTTCGAGATATCGAAATATTATATGATCGCTTCATTTTTTTCTTCCAAGATACTGGTTTCTAACATTGCATTTTTTGGAGATCTGAAATTTAAGGGGGGAAATACAAGTAACACGTCAAAAACTCGACGATTTTTGGATTTTTTTTTGTGAGCAAATGAAACAACGCAAACGTTTTTGCATTAAATTGCTTAAATCTTCCTCTACAATTGAGATTTTTCATTGGTGTGTGACCTCTGTGGCTCCTTGGGGTCACATCGGAAGAAGGTCGCCTCCGGTGGAGATTGGTAATTGGCGGGCGTTCTAGAGACCTGAAAAATGGACAAAACTTACTTTTATCAATTGGACCTTATTCAGAAAAGATTTTTGTTCTATGTGAACCTCTAAAACCAAAAAAAAAAAACGATTTAAAAATTTAGAAAAAATACCTGAAAAAAAAGTTGATTTTTCACTGTTTTTTTTTTCCATTTTAGGCAGACCTGAAAATTATTTATTGTTAATTTTTTCATGATATCAGTGGTTCACATAGAGTAAAAATCTATTTCCTTTAAGATGCGCCGGGTTTCAAGTCATTTGGATGAGAACTTTTTGAGTTATCTTTCCCGCCAATTTGGAAAATACCGTTTCGAGCGAGGGGGACGACTCTATCTACGATGCAGAAAACATTGTGTTATGCTGTGGCTAGCTGCGCGCACGCTGAGTAGATAGAAAGAAGATTGATGACGATTCTGAAGATTTCCTGCAAGAAGATGATGCGCGATGCAAGTAGATGCGACAAATGAAAGAAGATTTTTCGATGATTGATTCGCTAGTGTGAGATTTGTTGAGCATCTAAACTTTAGGTTGAGATGTGTCGCCCCCCTCGGTTTCGAGTGGGTTGTGTAAAAACATGATTTATGGAACTTACGGTTAATCGGCGATACCGGGGTCATAGATCACTCCTTCCTCGTGCTCGTGGAATTAAAAAAAAATAAAGTAAGATCGATAAAAAAATTTTACTTGTATTTCCCCCCTTAAAACAAGTTCCGATATTCCGAACAATGTAAACATTTTATTCATATATTACCAAGGGGTAAGTCACTCAGCATATTGTGCCGGAGTTATATTCTACACAGCTTGGGCACATCCATCGGCACATTTTCGACATACCGTCGGCACAATCTCGTAGGCATTAGATTGTTGTAAATAAAATGGGAGCACTGCTGGACAACTGTCATTGAAGTTGTTCAGAACATTACGTGCTGTTTGACTGTATGTTCAGGAACATCTTCTAATTGAATATACCAGAGGAACTCAGACCAGCAGTTCATTTATAGATCTAAATATAAAATGTAGGTTCTAGAGTGGACTCAAGAAGAAGAGGCAGTTAATAAGACCTCATTAGTACCCTTAATTCAAATAATGCTGCAAATCACACAAAACAAACTAAAGAAGTCTATTCATCACCCTCTATAGTCGGTCTCTAACAATGCTCCCCACCGGTTCCAACTCTTTACGGCCGAAAGGCTACATTTCTGTTCCGCCTTTGAGGGCATTATAAAACACTAAAACACAGGACTTTTATTACCCTATGGATCACAAAACACCGAAAGTTCACTTCCCACATCATCCTCAATCCGATTTATCCTAGCGATTTCAAACCAAAACATTCAAGGTGTCAGAAATACCGGGGTAATTCTTTGACGGGTTCAAAAATGCCACTGAAATTAGAACTCCCTGTTTGTTGCACTGTACTTTCCAGTTTAAGTTTTGTATGTTGTTGAGCTGCTAGTTATGGCCTTAATTTTTAAGGTGATAATGATATTAATCAGAAATATGGTTTCAACAGCAACTCACCTTAACGCATATACATTAACTGGCGTTGACATTAACTTTTATCGTTAGTATCACAAAAAGCTAAACATTGCCTTACAAAACAAAAACTCAATAGCTAGTTTTTGCTCTCTTGTAGATGCTTCTTCAAATTTATTTAATTTTAAAATTCAAGGATGTACCTAACGTTTGCGTTACTATTCATTGCAGATTCATAACACTTTTGCAAAGCTGGAAATCACTGTGGAGGTATCAATGGTAAGTGTGGCAAACAATGCAAATGCAAATAACTCTGATCTAAAACGTATTAATATGCCTTGCAGCAATGGTATGATGCATACCTTCACTGGAACAGGAAAGCCCAGAATGGCATACAAACACTTTCCGTTTCCGATCAAGATATCTGGACCCCGAAATTAGCTGCCAAATCCCTATCCAAGTTGGTTACCTGTCCTTTCCTATAGGGTGTCTACGCTTACAACACTATGTACTTTCAGGTCACGCGTTCAAGACATCGACCACTGCTTCCAAGTCAAGTGCCATCTCAGTTCGGACGGAGAAGTTATGTACTCCATGTTGTGTACATTTACGGTTGATTGTCTGGAGAACTCGCAGCATTGGGCATTCGAAACTAAAGATTGTCCATTGCGAATCTTTACTCCGGAATACGACATCAATCAGGTGTCTCTGTTCCATTTTCAGCGACGACTGTCCTACTCAGTTGCGGGAGTCTTGCCTTACAAAATAACTTCCTTCCAGATGGCAATCGTGAATAATTCGGTCAGTCCGGAGTTTAGAATGGATATCGTCGTAGAGCGGATGGTTGGACCACATTTGGTCGTTTTTCTGATATTGATTTTATGTAAGTACAATCATTAGGTATTCCATGAAACATTTAGTTTGTATTATTGTTGTAGTACTGATGTCTCTGAATCTCATGATTACATGGTTTCGAATTGATACTACTGTTCGAGCTGTGCTGTCCATTGCTTCATTGGCTCTGCACGTGGTGTACACTATCATACTGTTTTGGTACGCTTCGACAAAAATGGAACCGGCTTCAGGACTGGCCAAACTGGTATTAGGATCTCTCATAATTGCGCTACTATTAATGGGAGAATTGGTGTATTCCATTAACATTATTAAGCACAAGAGCATAGATGTCCCACACGTTCTTCAAGTAGTTCATCAAACAGTTTCCAAAATGGCTATGATCAGAGTGTTCGTCAAACTGGGTTATATTAGTTTTAATGGTCAACTGATAAAATCAACGACGGAACCCTCCATGGAACAATTTTCCAACCATGTGGACGAAATGGAACCATCAACGAAAGATACCGCGACAATTGAACACGTTGATTCAGACGAAGAGGAAGTAGATCCAGCCAAATTGAAATGGAACGTGTTCGTACAACCATTTGACCGGCTAATTTTCTGTGGAATTGCAACTGCCTACATTCTGATGCTACTAGTGCTGTTTCTAGCGTGAGACCTACGAAAAACCATTAGCTCAATGCTATGGGACAAGCGAGAAGCAGCTCAATTAAATGAGGTAATAAAGCCAATAAAGTAAGAAAATTCCTTATTTCCAGATGGGCGAGAGACAGAAGCAATCAAGCAACCAATAGAACTGTATGTAGTAACGACGGGAAGTAACGCGGTATCGTGACCTAATACTGGAAGATCGATTCGGCTGCTTCCTGATCAGAAACTAATGTGTTCGATGATGAATTTAGATTAGGAAATATATGAAAATGATTTACTGTAAGAGAAAACGTTCCTAATCATCGCTTTTTGTACTGCCGAAAATTCTAATTTAAATTTTTTAATACAAAACGCATGTTCAGAGTTTCAAACATTTTTCTTTTTGTTTACACAGATAGAGCGCCTTACTCAGCCCGTGGTAAAAAAAAAAACCTGATAGGTGAAAAAATTGCTTGGATTTTACTAAACTAAACAGATTTTTTTTTACTTAACGGCGACAACAAAAATAAATGTTGAAAATCTTGACCAATTTCTGTTAGAAAATCTATTGATCGATAATGTCGATAATACTCACTCATTCATGTATCCTGCAGACCCCTAGTGGTGCATAAGGCTCGCTGTTGCCTTGAGGCTTAGCCGCCATGCGCCCCTGGGCCTGCCTCTGCTGCGAGTTTCTACCGGGTTCCAATCTATTGCTTGCTTGCATATTTCGTTTCCACCCCTTCGTGTGGCCTACCCACCTTCACGTACGCCGAAGACAACATATCAAGAAGACTGGCAACTCTTCCATTTTCTCATACAACCGGTATGAGACAGGCACTATCGCGTCATCTGCCGCTCAAAGGTAAATGCTCCTATAGAATTGGATAGCAAAAGTTCCATCCTCAGAAGAAAGGTTTGTGTATTTACTCATTTTTCTATGCGTTGCTTCCACCTTCGCTCGATCGCAGCGCTACTGTGTATGTCACTTGGATTCAGGCAAAGTTGCCAGTCTTCGTGATATGTTGTCAGCCGTCAATTTTCGCTCCGTTTTTTTTTGAGTTTTGTGAATTTAAAATTACCCGTAAAAAAAATCAAATAAAATCAATGTATTTTTATTTTTTTCATTGTCATTGTAACAAACATTGGCTATTTTTGTTCATTACCATAAAATCACAACGAAATTCATGGTTCACAACAATGAAAATCATGGTATTTGAGAAATTTACAGTAAATAAGGGGGTTGTTAAGCATCGTAACAATATAAAAAAGTGATTTTTCTCGAATAAATTTGATCTCATCGCACTAATTTTCGTTGTTTGAGCATTGTATCGTTAAAAATCGAAATCCATTTTTTCTCCCGTACAATAATTTAACAATAAATTTTAATGTACTCAAAATTAATCATTTTGTTCGACCATTTTCCACAGAGATGGCGCTATTCCGCTGGTAGGAAGTGATAAAAATCCCCATATAGAAATTGAGAGAAGTGGGAATAATTCGCTTTCGGTGCATATTCAGGTGAAAAAAAGTGAACAACAACCTAAAGAAATTAATCAGGGACTTTGTCGTTCAATTTTTCCCGGAAATTATTGTTAAACAAGCTACAATTAAATTCAAAGTGTTTTTTATGTTACTTCATACGCGAAGTTAACGATTTTCAGAGTTGGTTGGAAATGCTAACATGAAGCTTTAGTGTGATGATTTATTAGCTAGAGAATGATCTTTAGAAGAGGGAAGGTGGATAGTTCCGTTAGAGTACGGCAGTATGAAAATTGAATAGAAGTTGAAAATGAGCGAAGGGCCATTAAAGCGACAGTCTTTCAAGATAGACGCACATTTTTGCCTAGCCCGTACGATGTACGCGGGGACTTGAAGTAATTTTCATACTGCCGTACTCTAACGGAACTATCCACCTTCCCTCTTCTAAAGATCATTCTCTAGCTAATAAATCATCACACTAAAGCTTCATGTTAGCATTTCCAACCAACTCTGAAAATCGTTAACTTCGCGTATGAAGTAACATAAAAAACACTTTGAATGTAACAACTCAAGGCGGGAGTAGCCGTCAACAATGCTGATGATGGTACAGCACGCAACAACCACCCTACTGCTTCCTCTCTGAGATGATCACGTTGGTCATGACGAGAGGAGCAACACAATAGTTGGGTAAAGAAGAACTGCATTATAACACACCATCGACTGGAAATGCTCTCGCAGCGTGGGGCTTTAGGTAGTGATGAAAACGTCGCTAGAACTATTCCACAGCCGCAGTCAGTTAATGAGCAACAAGAGGGACGCACATTTTTGCCTGTGGACTTGGAGACATACTTCAAGTCCCCGCGTACATCGTACGGGCTAGGCAAAAATGTGCGTCTATCTTGAAAGACTGTCGCTTTAATGGCCCTTCGCTCATTTTCAACTTCTATTCAATTTTCATACTGCCGTACTCTAACGGAACTATCCACCTTCCCTCTTCTAAAGATCATTCTCTAGCTAATAAATCATCACACTAAAGCTTCATGTTAGCATTTCCAACCAACTCTACAATTAAATAAAAATGATTTTTCCCCATACAATTTTACCTGCTTTACTACCAGTCCCCAGAGAGCCAAAAAAAAATCAAATTTGAGAGAGAAATTCTCTCTCACGAGCTCAATCTCTCAACATGCCATGTATTTTGTTGACACTCGATTTGTGATTTCCCTTTCACAGATTACAAAATAGAGTACACGACACTACAAAACATGTCTGGTACCTCTATATATGCATTTGCTGTAACATTTGAAGTCCCTCCTTTTTTACATATTCTGCGCAAAAGATACTTTATGCCCCACCCCATATATAAATACATATATAGAGGTACCAGACATGTTTTGCACTGCATTGTCCTCTGTGAACAATTATAGGCAAACAGATTGTGTCTAGTTTCCGATAGATGTCACCGCAAACAACAGCTGTGACATCTGATGGAACATGAATGCAGAAGCTTGACAAAATGATCAATTCAACAGTAAAAATCATTGTAATTTCGTTGTTGTATTATAATTATTTTTTTTCGGGTAGTGTTCCTTCAACCAGACTTCGTTTGCTCTATTTGCCACCCGGGAGTTCTTCAACCACCGATCATATCAGGACCTAGAAAAAACCTTATTGGTTGTTCTATCCGGCTCTTTGTGTTTCTTAAGAGTGGGTCGGATTCTACGATCAGCAGCCTGAATCTTTTCAACCACTCGCCATTTGCTTTTACCATTTTTTGCTGGCATTATTTGGCTGATCAAATGAAATCACCGACACTAAGAATAGGCAAACCTATTTTCGTACCCAGTCTACATACCTTTATGTATGGAGAACACTGAAACAAGACATCGTTCATGGATCGATTTGACGAGTTTGTTCCAATTTATTTTTTTAATAATATTTTCCTTATATATTTGTGTGGTGTTGGAAGATGTCTCTACTGGAAAGAGATTTTTCTATTTCCGAGAGTTCTGCGAAAGAGTCTCTGCACGTCTCCGTTTTCGTTCTTTATACAGCAGTGAAAGTGAATTGACGAAATTAAAAAATAATGATCTATTATTAGGAACCGTACGTCACGGCGGGTCTTGCACTGATGTTGGCTTTTTATCACAAAGCATCAACACACAGCAAAATTCATTTTGACGTCGGACTACGTCTTTTTGACGTAGGACTACGTCTTTGATTTCTATATGGGGGTACACTTTGTGAAAACCGAAAATGGAACATGTAACAAATTAAGAAAGATTTTGAACGTTAATAACTCAGCTGCCCCTGGTCCAATTTCAATAATTTTATCACCAATCGATCAGAAATATGGCTACGCATTGATAAAAATGCTTCCAAATGTTGATTTTCAACAAGAAACTATTGAAAAACTGGTAAATGTTCAGCATTGTCCAAAAGCGTCGAATTTACTAACAAATCCACCAATTACCTACATGCATATGCTGCTTCCCCAGCACAGTCGTCAGAGAGTAGTAATTAGACGAAACAAGTCGAAGTGGCATTCGCCTCCGATCCTCGGGCGCGTGAGAATAGGGAGGATGGAATTGCGTAATACTTTACACACTCATCGCCATGTTCAGAACCAAACGCAAATTCTTCGAGATAACCACCATCCGTCGTCTGGCTCGCCGTGGCGGTGTCTGACGTAACTCCGGTTTGATTAACGAGGTGTGCTGAAGGTGTTCCTGAAAAATGAGATTCGTGATGCTGTCACCTGTACTAAACACGCCAAGCGTAAGCGGCCATGGATGTCATCTACGTTTTTGAAGTGACAGAGACGCACTCTGTTTGGTTTCGGAGGTTAAATCATCACCAACATTGGAAACAAAACGGCTCTTTTCAGGGCCACCAAGCTTATTACAGAAAAGAGTAGGAATAGAATTCATCTGCCTGTTTGTCCATATTCAGAACCACCCACCACACAAAATGCTCATGTAATCAAACTGGAAGCAGGGATACAAGTTATATACGGATATTTTAGATAAAAGCATCTAATTCGACGAAGACGGCAGGAAACATTTCTGGTCAACAATAGAATAGGGCCCATCAGCATTTGTAAACAAACCGTTCCAAAGTCTCACAAATCGAAGGCCGCTCACACAAACCAACGCCAACATCTTTTAGGTAGAAGTTTCCCCTATCCGATGATGGTGTTGGTTTGTGTGGGTGGCCTTCGCTTTGTGAGTAAACGGTTTGTTTAAAAATGCTGATGGGCTCTTTTCTATTGTTTATCCAGATTTGTGAAGCCAAGTTTTACGAAAGAGAGTGTCGATGAAGAGAATCGATCAATGTAGATAGGACCTATTGAAAAGTGACGCGAGATTTGTTTTCCGTACTGAGCTCCAATGCTACCGACGCCTGGGAGGCAGCTCCCACACCTGGACCCTACATATCGACCCATCAACTCATCAACATGGGACCAACGGCTTTACTTCTCGAAGAAAGGCGTGATCAGAGATGTTATGCCTTAGAAAATGGCGGTGGCGCCGACTGAGATTGAACCCTGGCCTACTGGGGTGAGAGGCAATCACGCTAACCACCGGCGCCAATATCTTTCAAGGTGATATCACGGCGAATGAGAACGACCCAAATTTGAGTTTAGTTATCTCAGAAATAAGAAATTAAGTGCAGGAACTCAGCGATGAGTAAATTTGCCTCATGTTTTCCCAGGTTTTTCCAGGATTTTCCAGGGAAAAATTCCCGAATTTAAGAAAAGTAAAGATTGGATTCACTCAGTCTATTGGCACTACTCCAAGACTGAATAAAAT